TTTTTTTTTTTTTTTTCCTCTCCTCTCTTTGTTGCCTGATCACTCACTGCCCACTGCAAGCGCCGAAATTACACAGTGGGGCAGATGACCCTCACTTTCTCTTCCCCTTGTCCCCAGTGGTTCTCCCTGTTCAATAATTACTGATAGCACTGCTTTCAGAGCGAGTTGACTCCAGCCCCACCCCCCAAGCTGAAAGGCATTGGGGCTGTGCTACACGCAGACAGCGGCGGGAACTAGTTTAAAAAGCTAGGAGTTCCTCAGTATGGTGATTTTTTTACAAAAAAAGCTAGTTTAAGATTTTGATATACTGAGACTTATGGTAGTTGTAATGGTGTTGGTTCACCACAGAAAGGTTTGTTTTCATGAATTCCCCTCCCCCGAACCCGGAGCCTCACTCACCCAGGCCGTCTGGCCGTCTGGCAAACCGGAAGTCCCTGCAAGAGATTTCCAATGACTGATTTCTTAATAAACCTTTCGGGTGAGTGATTGATCTTACAGTCCCCGGAGCAGAGGACCCTTGGACCATCAAGGAAGAAGAGCAGGAACAGAGTGTAGGACCCTGCCCAGAGAAGCGGCGACGCCAGAGGTGAAGGCAAGATGATGACATGGAGAGACGGAGCAACTGAGGACTCTAGACTCATGGAGGGAGAGGGGATGTGTGCTGGCGGCCAGGGGGCAGGCTTGCAAGGTGTGATATTTGGCTGTTGTTGCAGATTGTGCAGAGGTTCGAGGCCCTATAGGCCCGAGTGTAACAGATCTAGCCACTTGGCAGTTAATAGCAAATTGTTTTTCATCTTAGTGTTCAGTTATATTTATTTAATTCCAAACATGAGCCCTGGATGTCCACAGAGAAATGCAATATTCCCCTAAGTTTCTAAGGTCAAGATTTTCCCCCTAGAACCAAGGCAGTAAAACTTCCTCAGAGGACGAACAAGGACAGGTTTACTGGGATTAAGCAGGGAGGCTCTAGAGAGGAACTGCCCGGGGTATATTCACTTGGGGTGGAGTGGTAAATTCTGGGAATATGGGATTAAGGACAATGGGGGCAACTCCCTCGGACCACCCTGGGTTCAATAAGTTTGATTCAAGTGAAGGTTAAACCCAGTAAGGAAGAAAGGAATATTGGTTTAAGTAAGGTTTACTGGCTTAACTTATCTTAAAGATTGTCTTGTCTGAATAATACCATTCTTCTTCTGTAAAGAGCCCTCTCTGAAAGAGAGGAAATAAAAGATGGACGCAGACTTAAGTCTGCAGGGCATTATTTCTTGCAGGGTATGAAGAGGCTGTCTGCCGGTTTTGCATCTAATCTGGTCTCCAAGTGTTCCTTTTCTCTCTTGCCTCTCCAGACATCCTACCTAGAGTTAGTCCAAGAAGGGAAAATGTCAGCCACTGAGCAGTCTGTCTGGCAGCTTGCATCAAGCCCGGGTGTCTGTCTTCTTTGTATCTATTTTCTCTGTTTTCTTTGTGTCTGTTTTCTCTATATCTCTCTCTCTCGCCATCATCACCGGACACCCCATCTTCGGGTCCTCACCCCCTTGCCGAGGCCAGACCCCGGCAGGCTGTTTGAATGACTGTATATTCCTGTGTGTTTTGGTGCACATCAAAACAACAACAACAACACCCAGAGGGAATAGATTCAAATATTGTTGAATGATGTAGCATGCAAGGGATTCTTATCATTGCAATGAAACAAATATGAAAATACAATTGTGATCATTACAATGAAACAAATACGATAGAATGAGTGTAAAACTGATGTTCCCCCATGTAAATGATCCCTCGAGTCACAATAAGAGCTTAAAAAAAAAAAAAAAGACTTTTTTCCTGAGGTGCCTCTGGGAGGACTTAACACCTGCAGTCTTCTGGTGAGTGGTCAAGTACGTTTGTCTCCCAGTGACTGAAAGGCTTGACGGAGGGAACAATACTTTGTGTATACACCACAATTTATTGATTTACATTGTTTCCAATTCTTGTTATTCTGAAGAATGCTGCACTTTAATCATTTTGTTTGGATATTCTACAGAGATACTTGTTAATGCTGCATGTATACTCATATATATAATAGAGTTTGTCATACTATGGTGACTTGTCACAGGTTTTCTTTTCTTTCTTTTTTAATGAAATACAGTTTTAATGTAATTTTTAAAAACTTATTTAAAAAGAAAACATTTTTATTGAGAATTGAGTAAAGGGTTACAAACAAGATCATTAGCTTTATATTCAACAAATCATACACTTTGTTTCATCTCAATGATTGCAAGCCCCTCCCTATAACGACAGTTTTCTCACCTATTTCCATTCCGCACACCTTCCCATCCCTCCTCAACTTTGTCCTTTGGAAAATGTTGCCCTTTTGATTTTGAGTGATTGACCGTTACATGGTGAGTATATCTTGATAGTATTGTTGTCCCCACCTATAAACTTAATTAATGCTTAGCTGAAAATTGGGCCATGAATGTGAGTTCCTTTCTAGACCTGAAGAGTGGTCAAGGGCCATGGTTTCATGCTCCTCCAGTCTCTTTCTGTCCAGTAAACCCATTTTTTTGTTGTTGTTGTTTTTAAATTAAATTAATTTTGAGTTTTATTCTACATTTTCTCCCACTCTATCTGGGATACTCTAATGTGAACCCTTGAAGAACCATTGGTAGTGGTAGCCACACTGGCTAGTCACGGAGTCATGGAGACTTATGTTCACATGTTATGCTACTCCACTAGACTAATTGATTCCAAGCCTCTTCAATTAATATCACTCCTCTTTCTTCCACACAATGAGAGATCAAATAGCTGCACCTTATATGGCTTCTTTGAAGATCAAGAAAGATGTAGGACATTATCTTTGTGGACAATGTTATGCCAATTGACCATGATGTCTCCTGAGACTATGTTCTGGAGCCTCCAGGCCAACCAACACATTGCCTTATCTAAGAATTTTTCATCATCTTTCCTGCTGTACGCTCCACCACATTCCCAGTTGTGTTTGCCACTGATATTTTAAATATGAGCAAATATGCTACACAATACCTCTTTAAAGTATACAAGAGCAACGTTTGAGGGTTAAGGTGCACCTAACCCCAGACATTGTATTTCCAATAGTCTCATATGCATGTGAAAGTTGGACAGTGAATACCTGATTTCACCTTGGTAGCCATAAGACTAGAGAGAAGAGAAAAAAATGAAGCAACAACGTGCTCTTCAGGAAAAACAAATATAACCATCTCTAGAGTTTCACCAGTCACTCCTCAGAAACCTTATACAGGGTTGCTATGAGTTAGAACTGACTCAATGACACTTAACAACAACAGAGTATTCTGCAGTAAATTGGTTTTATTCATGTAAAACAACTAAGGCCAGTCATAAAAGTAATTAAATGTGTTGTTATTATTAGTTAAAATGGATTATTTCTCCCTATACTCCCATTTAATTGGAAAAAATATACAGAAATTTGTCACCTTACATACAATTTGAAAAAAGGGTGTTCAGGAATAATAAAATAAAAATAAAGCATAAACTGGAATGTACTACACTTTGGCCAAACAAAAGGTTTGATTCATTCTGGCTTAAAAAGGAAGATAGTAGTGTTTGTGATATTGAAAATTCAATGAAACTTTTTCCCTGAATGGGTTTCTTTGTGATGCATTTTCTTGAGTTCTGCCCATGACTGATATAGTAACAGTCCTGGCACCACAATCCACACACCATTAAAAAATACCAAATATACCCAAAAGTAGAGCCAATTGCTGGTGTTGAGGTTGGGGCTTCCAATAAGCCACTCTGGGGAGAAGGTCATCCACCCGCCATACAATTCACACACGCACAGGGTAATCTGTACGAAATGCCTGTTAGAGGGTAAGAAACAAGAGATGAAACCAGCTTTGTGCCCTTGGTAATGACATCTTTCCTTTAATGTTAGCATTAACACAATCTCAGTACAGAAACCTCTCTAAAATTGGACCACCAGGTTCCTGGTGTTGCTCTTACTATATAAGTCATTCTAATCTATGAAGACCCATGATTTCCTTGGAGAAGTGACTCTATGCTTTCTAGACAACTTACTTTGTGCTAAGGAGTCCTGGTGTGCAGGCTAATGTGCTAGACTACAAGGTCAGTTTAAACCACAAAGTTGGTGGTTCAAGCTCACCAGCTCCTCCCTGGAAACCCTATGGTCAGCATCGACTTAATGGCACTTAACAACAACATTTTGGAGGGAATGCTATTCTTTTATTCTTTAAATTCAACTACTAGTTGGCATTAACTTGACGCCTACTCATGATGACCCCATGTATGTCAGAGTAGAACTGTAGTCCAGGGGATTCTTAGTGGCTGATTTTGGGGAAGTCGATCACCAGGCATGTCTTCCAAGGCCTCTCTGAATGGACTTGAACCTCCAACCTTTTGATTATTAGTTAAGCACAGTAAATGTTTGTAGCACCCAGGGACTCCCTTGTTGTTGTTGTTGTTGTTAAGTGCCGTTGAGTCGGTTCCGACCCTTAGCGACCCTGTACAGGGTTTCCGAGGGTGTAAATCCTTACGGGAGTAGAAAGCCTCATCTTTCTCCCGCGGAGCAGCTGGTAGTTTCAAACCGCTGACCTTAAGGTTCGCAGCCCGATTCGTAACCACTACGCTACCAGTGCTAAATTATTCATATCATTGGCCAAAACAAGGCCAGAGGCAGACTGTGGAACAAACCATCAATTGCTCTTATGCAAGTTCAGGTTGAAGCTGAAGAAAATTAAAACAAGTCCACAAGAGCCAAACTAAGACCTAGAAGATATCCCATCTAAATGTAGAGACCATCTCAGGAACATTTTTGATGTATTAGATACTAATGAGTGAATACCAGAAGAGCTGTGGGATGACATCAAGAACATCATACAGGAAGAAACCAAATGGAAATTAGAAAGAAGAGAAAGGGAAAAAAAAGAGAGAGAGACCAAAATGGATGTCAGAAGAGACTCGAGACTCTAAAGCTAAAATAATTGGAAGGAATGATGAAGTAAAGAGCTGGACAGAAAATTTCAAAGGGCAGATGGAGAAGACAAAATCAAGTATTATAATGAAATGTGCAAAAATCTGGAGTTAGAAAACCAAAAGAGAAGAATACACTCAGCATTTCTCAAGCTGAAAGAACTGAAGAAAAAATTTAGGCCTCAACTTGAAATATTGAAGGATTCTATGGGCAAAATATTGAATGACACAGAACCATCAAAAGAAGAGAGAAGGAATATACAGAGTCAATGTACCAATAAGAAATGTTCAACCATTTGAAGACCTAGCATATGATCAAGAGCCAATGGTACTGAAGGAAGAAGTCCAAAGTGTACTAAAGGCATTGGCAAAGAACAAGGCTCTGGGAACTCACGGAATACAAATTAAAATCTTTCAATAAACTGACACAGCACTGGAGGCACTCACTCATTACTGCCAAGAAATTTGGAAGACAGCCACCTAGCCAAATGATTGGAAGAGATCCATATTTGTGCGCATTCCAAAGAGAGATGACCCAATGGAATGTGGAACTCACTAGACAGTATCAATAATATCACATGCAAATAAAATTTTATTAAAGATAATTTTTTAAAAAATGTTTTATTGTGAATTATGTGATAGTTTACATGGGAGAACATTAGCTTTACATTCATTTTATCATATATCATTTCATTGCCACAGTTACAATCCCCTCCAAATGCATCATCAACCAACCAAAGGGCATACCCTGAAAGACTGCTCCCTGGTCGTCAGCACACAGCCCCTCTCCCTCTATGAGTCTAAACTCCCCAGCAGCTCCATCTCTCCATGTGATCATCTCTGTCTCCATCTCTGGCGTTACTGCTTCCCTTGATAGTCCCAGGGACTTCTGCTCCTAGACTGCAAAGTCAATATCTCCCCTCCTTTAACTAAAAAATGTCTACCTTTACATTTCCAACACTCACAATCATTCCTGATGACAATTATTCACTATTACCTAGCCGCATCTCCTTTCATCAGCCCCACCCAGACAGATTGGATATTACTCAGTGGAGATTCTACCTTCCTCAATGCTCTCTGGATCTAGGTTCCCTCTTGAAAGCTTGTAAGCTAGTCATTTCTTGCCTTTGGAGCTCCCCTACCCCCATTTTGGGTAGCCAATGTCCACGTTGCCCATCCCTGTCTACTCTGTGTATGGAGGGGGTAGGAATGATCTTTGCTATAAAGATCTGTTTCCTTGTTTGAGCTACTGCAGCTATATGTGTAGATCAAGTTCATCAAATTGTATCAGATTACTCTTTTTTACTCTTCTTTCTTCTTCTAGTTGACCTCTGATCATCCAGTCATTGAAACCAGGTCAAGTGGGTATTATCTGCAAGTGTGGGTGTTCTTATGCATAAACCCACTCTTCTTATCAGCTGGATGCTTCACTCTCTACTCTAGTGCTCTGTGGCTATGTCACTGACTCTGGGCCCAAGAGTCCCCAGGTGTTGCCACACTGCTGGTCAACCAGGTCTCCAACAGGGTTCACAGGAGTCTATTGAACATTGCAGGGCTTAACTCCCATCTTCATTGCTGTTTTTCTGACCAATCAGAGTGTGTATTCCCATTGAGTCTTAGTCTTGGCAGGAGGTTTGCCATGAGGGGACCTGACCACTTGGCTTGGTGTCTCCTGGGCGAGCAATTTGCACATTCTTGCTTGTTCTTGTAGTAATCAGTTGCACTGCCTTTATTGTTTTGTATTGTTCCTGTCAGTCTTTCTTTCAAGAGTAGCTATTGGTCTTCTAGCTGCTCCAGGCTGGTCTGCTTGTCTTTCCAAGTGGAAATTGTCCACCTCAGAAGATTCTGGATGCAGCTCAGGACTCCACCTATGGTGTTACGTAATGCAGAGGCTCCATAGGAAGCCTCATTCACTGGGCACGTTGTAGCTCCATTTTAGGTATTCCAATCAGTTACAAGCAGAAGATGGACTTACAAGATTTCTATGGTGATATTTCTGGTTATTCCTTTCTCTTCCCCTCAAGTATCTATTTTATAATGGTATGCCAGGAAAACCAAGATTTAAAACAGAGCCAAGCATCTTAACATTATTTCCCCACTTTTGCTCATTCCAACCATGTCTCAATCCCTTTATCCCAGAGCCCTGCTGTTCCAAGGTTGTGCATACATCATTATTTACCTCTGTCTGGGTGTATTGCCCACCTCCCTAGCACCCAAACTATCCTGTGTCTATTCCCTACCCTGTGTTCCACCTTCCTGTCCCTTACCTCACTCCACCCCCCACATTCCAGCAACCAGCAAAGTATGGGTTCCTTTTCTTAAGTCTTTTACAGTAGTGGTCCTATGCAGTATGTCTCCTTATGTGACTGACTAATTTCACTCAGCATAATGTCCTCAAGGTTCATCCCTGTTATGCAGTGGCTTGTAGCTTTCTTGTTATTCTTCAGGTGGCATAGTATTCCATTGTGTGGATGTACCACAGTTTGTTTATCCATTCTTCAGTTGATGGGACTTAAGCTGTCTCCAAATTTTTGCTATTGTAAATAATGCTGCTATGAACATTGGTGTACATATATCTACTCATGTTATGGCTTGTATTTCTTGTGGGTAAATACCAAGTAAAGGAAATGCTGGATCATAAGGTATTTCTATTTACAACCTTCTGAGGAAGTGCCATATTGCTTTCCAGAGAGGCTGGACCACTTTGCAATCCCACCAGCAATGCAGAAGCATCACAGTCTCTCCACATCCATACCAGCATTTATTGTCCTCTACATTTTTTATCTTTGCTGTTATTGCTGGTGTGAGATGACATCTCATTGTTGTTTAGATTTGCATCTCTCTAATGGCTAGTGATCATGAACATTTCTTCATGTTTGTTGGCTGCCTGGATCTCTTCATTGGTGAAGTGTCTGTTCATGTCCTGTGGCCACTTTTTAATTGGGTTATTTGTGTTTTTCTTGTAAGGTGTTGTAGTTTCCTATATATTTTAGAAATGAGTCCCTTGTCTGATGTTTCATTGCAAAAGATTTTTTCCCATTCTGTGGGTTCCGTTTTTACTCTTTTGGTGAAGTCTTTAAGGAACATACTTTTTAATTTTTAATATATCACATATATTTAATATACTTT